ACAATTTATTCATCGGTCACAAATAAAAAAATTTATAGGTCACAATTTATTTATCGATCACAAATCACAAATTTTATAAGTCACGACTTACTTTTTTAGGTCACATATTATTAATTAGTCACAAAATATCTAATTTATTGGTCATAATCTCAAATAATTAATCACATACTATTTATTGGTAAAAAAATTAACTAATTTATTGGTTATAATCAACAAAATAATTGGTTACAAACCCCCTCACCCCATGCCATTGCACAACAACCACCAGACCACCGCTACGACGACCACCACTGCTGTCGTCGTCGACCATCGCCACCTCATCGACACCACCAACATTACCACCACCTCACCAATACAGTCAGCATCACATCCACTACCACTCCAACACCAGCAAAAATCCAAATCCAAAATAATTAGTCATCACCATGATCACCACGATCACACCAAGATTATCATCACCACCTGAGTAGCACTGCCACAGCTACCAACCACAAACACCACAACCATTTGTAAACCCACCACCAGTTACCTCCAAAAACTCCACATTTTTCGCTATCAGCAACGACGCACACGCACAAAACCATCATTGCCAAAAAATTGCACAACCACGATCACGACCATCACAACTTGCACCACCACCAACTACACACAACCAACAAAACTCACCCCAAAATTTTTTACACTAGATCGCGACTAAAAGAAGTCCCCAAATCAACAAATCTCTAATAGCAACAGCAGTGCAACCCTATCATTCATCACTGCAACAATAACGCTCACACCCCTTGCATCGAGGATGCAACTATTCGCATTGAACAATAGCCATTGCTGCAACGCATCTCATGCCATAACACAGCGACAACACGTCATCATAGCTACGACATTTGCGGTGATCTTCGACGAAAGTTTTCGATAATTGGGATAGAAGGATGAAAGAGAGAAGGAAAAATTTAGAGATAAGGAGAGGAGATAAGGTACTGGATAGAAAGAGACGAGAATAGGAATATGTTTAGGATTTTGGATGGGTGGTTGTATATGTATATTAATTTAATTTTGTAATATAATTATTAATATTAAAATTTTGAATTAATATTTGATTTTTGTATAAACAAACTTTAGATTTGATTTTTGAAATTGCATCTTAAAAAATCTAGTTGGGTGTAATTTTCACATTTATCGGAATGGTACCACTACATATATTTTCTAATGAAATATACAGATTTCAATATGAACCTGAATTTTACCTATTAATCCAATGAAATATGTAGATTTCATTATGAAACTTGAATTATGCCTAGGGGTGGGCATGGGTCGGGTCGGTTCGGTTCTAAAGAGAACTGAACCGAACCAAAATTTTTGGGTATCTAGTAAATGGAACCGTCAGGTCCAAATATAATTATAGAACTGTTCGGGTTCGGTTTCGTTCGGTTCAGTTCGGTTCGGTTCGATTCTGTACTATAATTAAAAATTTTGACATTTATAACAATATTATATAAATACAACTAATGATACATTCAACGATTTTGGAATGTCAGAGATTAGTAGACTACCTTGTTCACATGATCGCTACGGTCAAAATTTTGGTCGACAGAGGTCACAGTTTCGATCGGAAGTCACAGCGTCGGCCGACGATTGTATATGTTTTGAAATTTTAGCGAGGCTACGAGAGTGAGTGCAAGAGTTGAGACAATGTTATGCACTTTAGTATAGGTGTTTAGGGTTATTTAGTAGATTGAATCTTGTTGGGCTAAGAAATGAAATAATAAAATGGGTAATTGGCCAAAAATAAAAAAATTAGAAATGAAACAAATTATTGGGCAAAAAATTTGGATTTAGAAATTGTTAATTTGTTTAAAAAAATTAAAATTAAAATAATTTGATTTACTCAATATAAAAAAAAAATTAGAAAGATTCGATTCTTTTTCGATTCTTCGGTTCTTGGTTTAGAACCGAGAACCGAATCGTACCCATCGGTTCTTAATTCAGATACTCGTTCGGGTATTTAATTTGATAAGAACCGTCGGGTTCGGTTCAGTTCGATTCGGGTTCGGTTCGATCGATTCGGTTCGGGAGATTTGCCCAACCCTAATTATACCTATTAAAATCTTAGTCTAATGAAATTTAACTTTAAAAAATAACTAATAAATTTTTTGAAACTTCAAATATTTTAAAAACCTCATTAATACCAATCTAAAAATTATTATTTATTTGTAAATTGCTTTTTCAAATAAAATTTTACATTCTAAAAATGTAAGAGATATTTCCAAACCATGAACGAGATTTCAAGTATTTATTTTAATTTATGTCATTATTTCCAATCTAATAATAATTTTTTAACACGCTTCAAGAAAAAGAAAGACCCGCAGTGGGCCGTGCAGCAGCTAAACGTGGTGAAACCAAACCAGTTACTATAAAAATGATAGGAACGGAACTACTGGTTAGTGATTTAGGTGAATATTTGAAACGTGGAAGAGAATAAAGAAGAAATCCTTCTATTAAAACCTTGATGGTCACAAATAATTATGGGCGTCTGGTGTATTAGTCCTAATATTTCAATACCCAAAATCATTTAATATATTTGGGTATTTTGTAAATTGAACCATTCACTTTCTATGATGACTTTGTATGCAGCAATTTAATAAGTGTTTATAGGGTGGTCAGGCAATGTTATAAAAGAGATTGATATGGTTCAATTACTAAAATGAATGAATCTAACTGATTATGGTACTTATTACTCGGGTCTTGCTGGGTTCGGTTATTGGGTCATGGTGAGTAAATTGTAAATAATAAAAAAATAACCTTATAAAAATGGGATAAATTCGGTTTAGTATCGGGTACTGATGGTTCCAGATTAAGAATCAAGAACATCTAGGACCCGATCTATTCTTGATTTTGATTTTTGATTTTATTTGATTTTAATTTTTTGCAACCTCTAATTTTGGTTCGAGAGGTTTTATTTTTTGTTAAAATATCCACCCGGATTCACAAGTGATAAAACGCACCTTTATATAAAACATTCCGTATTCTTTTCTACACACATCTCCTAACATCATTTTGACTGTTCTTGAATACGAACTTACAATAATTAATAAGCTCAAAAATTTATATATTAGTCTTAATAATTTATTTATTTAGCTCTAGTAAAGTATTATTTCACAACACAAAACAATGCTATATTTTAACTTTCAACTTGCAAGAATCAAGATTCCAAAGGGAGCCCCGCTATTTAAAAGTTTTCAACAAGAATAATGCTACTTATACATAATAAAATTAAATAATAGTTTACATACAGATAAGATCATGGTTGGGCATGATCCGGTTAGAACCGAACCGAACAGGACCCTAAATTTTCGGGTATTTAGTAAGTAGAACCATCGGATCCAAATTTAATTATGAAACCGTTCGCGTTCGGTTCCATTTGATTTCCAAGTTCTATACTATTATTAATTTTTTAATATTTATAAAGCTACATTAAATTTACTAATGACGTGTTCATTCTTGTTCTTACAAAATAACGTAATTCAATCTTATGTGTCTTTCAAGTCTCTTTGCTAAGTTTTTCATAGTTTTTGATTGTTAAAATTGCAGAAAGAGGAAGATAACAAACTCACAATAGTTAAGATATGAACTGTTGAGTTTCAATTCGATTTCTCCAAAACAGTAAAAAAGGCACTATGATAGAATGACAGGTTTGGATAAAACTTAGGTTAATTTGATTAATTTAGGCTTTGATTGAAAATTAGAAATAGGAAAATCATATTTTTGGGTTTGAGCTAAATTAACTAGATAACAAAATTATTTAGAAAAAGGATGAGTTTTTAATCAAAATGAAGAATACTAACTTCACACGCTATGCTATACTTGACGATGGCTCCATACGGTATACAAATATACCTTAAGGGATTTTTATTCAATATGAGCTAAAAATAATTTGGCTTATTTAAAATAAATAAATTTAAAATATTAGAAAGATTTAGTTCTTCGATTTTTTATCTAGAACCCATAATCGAACTGAACCAGTCGATTTTAGATGCAAATACCCGTTCGAGTATTTAATTTAAGAAGAATCACTCAATTTGGTTCAATTTAGTTAGGGTCCAGTTCGGGAGTTTTGTACAATTCTAGAAGAGTTGTCAAAAAGAGAATGCTTGCTTTTATTTTTATTGAAAAAAGTTTGATCCAATCATGTCTCATCATATTATATTAATATATATCATTATATGTATGTAAACTGCATCTTTCTTATATGTATAATTTCAATGATTGACTCAGTCATTTACACATCGTTATATCTTTTTCCAAATTTAGCAAAAAAGGAATAAGATACAAAAGTCAAATATCCCAATCACGTAATACGATTCAAGAACCTTCTCAACTTGCAATAAGTCCGCAAAACATATGGTACAAAATATATTGTGGATCAATTTATTGCATCAACTTGCAACACACCTCTACAAGTTGATCAACCAACCACAAAATCCGTGGTCCTGCTTTAAACTTTCCAGAAAATCCCTTTATCCTTTCATAAATGTTCGAAAATTAAATGTAAATAAAAATAATCTCGTTCTCTCTTTAACATATTAATATTAGAGTAGATGTTCAAGACAAACACAGCTACGAGCTTATGACCTTCACGAGCTAATCAATATCTGCATGCAAAGAAAGAGATCAAAAACTTTATATATATCAAGTTTAATGTGAATATCAGTATGCCCTTGTTTGGTAGAAAATAAAATATCGATTTTAATCAAAGTCAAAGTCAACAACTAAATTTAATTATACATTTTATGAGATTCACAATTTTTAACCATACGTTTAATTAAATCTTATCAAAATCTAATAAAAATTCTGATTTCAGTCCCTATCAAACAAGCACATATGTATTGTATTGTATTGATTATATATAATGAAGAAGTCATTTTTAATTAATAATTCTAAAAAGTATCCATTTTCAACTCTATTATACAATTACCCAAGAAGTTCTGTACAATGGGGATTGGTCAGTTGTTGAGATTTGTATCTTTTAATCTATAATACCTTTCAACAGTCAAGATTAGAGGTTTGACACAGAGCCTACATTTTTGTGTCAATAAGTGCGGAATTCATCTCCCTTGATCTACCCCGTCATATTTGAATTCAATCCCTTCAGCTAAAAGCCAATTCCATATCCCTACATCCCAAAAATGAAACAAAATATGTACACATTCTTGATATCGTTTGAGCTTTGTATATTCTGCATAATTCTTGTTGCAAAGCAATCGTTTTGTGTAGATTATCGGTATGAAGCATGTGTGCCTAAGAGTTGCGGCAATGGCCCAAATATAAGTTTCCCATTCTATATCCATGACAAGCAAGAATCATATTGTGGGTTCCCTGGATTTGAGCTCAACTGCACAAACAGTGGCTACCCCGTACTTCATTTACAGGGAAAGGATGTTATGGTTCAAAACATTTCATACGAAACCCGTATTTTGCGAGTATATGATGCTGCAGTTTCAAGTTCAAATGGAAGCTGTTTTTCACAGATTAAAAACACAACACTTCCTGAAAAATTCAATTATGTTAATGTTTCGTATCTGTACTTGTTATCAAATTGTACAGGAAATCTGTCTGAGGATCTTTCTAGGCACAGAATTGGTTGTGGTAATCAGAGTAGAGATAATTGGGGTTTGGCAGTGTTTGAGGGTAATGAGAACTTTAAAAATGCATTGGGGAATTGTGAACAAAAAGTGGTGGCGCCGGTGGAATTGCACGGCGGTGAAGAGAGGAATGGAACAAGAAACTATATGGAGATTTTGAGAAGAGGGGTTGCACTGAATTGGACAGCCAGTGACTGTAATGTATGTGCAAAAAGTAGGGGGCGTTGTGGGTTTGATGCAACTGTTTACCAGTTCAAGTGTTTCTGCCCAGACAGACCTCATTCTTCAAGTTGCAAACCTGGTAAGATAATTTGATTACTTTTCTTCTTTCAAATGCATTTTGATCGATTGTTAGAAATTATAATGAGCTCATCTCATTATATAAAGGGATTTTATCATAATTTCTATGGTTATACGAATACATGAGACTAACTTATTGAGGAATCGGGTTATCAAGAATTTGGCAATTCTCAACAAGGGACAAGGCCGAAGGGGTATGGTCTGCCGTGCATGTTGGAGAGGCATGTGTTCATATATCTTCATTATTATGTAAATTTTGTACAAGAGAGGCATATATGATGTGTTTACTTTTGTGTCAGTAACTGAATATACAAGTTGAAGCTACATATGATATCTTCTTTTGTTGTATTAATTGAATTAGATATTATGTTTGAGTTCTAAGTAATCAATGCAAGAACAAAAGTCCCCTTTAGAGTACGTAAATTGAACAAATTACATTCTTGAGCTTAAGAGGATAGTACTACCATACAGCTCGTACTGGTAATGAATCATAATAATCTTTTGTAGTGTGAGCTAAATCTTCTCGTATTGACACATGAATTTCAACCACATTTTCTCTCAAATATTCTCAATAGGACAACTTGCAGAGGTTTGTGGACAGTTTCGTTATCTGAAAAATATGAATTAGTAGTAGGATTTACAAAAATGTCTCATATTTTGTGTCAGTATGTGGCAGTGCGAGCACACCCTGTGTTGAAGCACTTCATGTGAATTTAAACTTAAACTCAGTGCATTTACATTCATAACAATTTCATCTTTTCATGAATAGCCTGAACTCTGCACAATTTTCGGTAATGGGTGGTGGAGAGATTCGATCCAGAGATCTTGACAGCTTTGATATCATGTTGAATCACTTCCTTTTAAAGCTTAAGGTCTTATAGAGCTGTGCAGACCTTGATAGTATATGATCTTCCTTTTCCATTTTTCAGCATCTTCTCACTAGAAAAGGATTTGCCTTACTTTCTACAAGAATCAGCCAAGGTTACACATGAAACTTTCTCCAAAAACTACATGTTATAATAAAAACTAGGGATTAGATATCCTTTTCCAGAGCTCAACTGTATCCTCCAGAACACAATTGTACAGATACCCCGACATCGGATTTTATATGAATTTAAAATCTGGCCATTTGGCTTAGAAATGTTCACCTCTATAACAAGGATTCATGCTGTCAAGAAGTTTGTATTCGTCACCGCGCTAATCTGCAAATGATTTTTCTAATTAGAAATCAGTGCACTACTTCCCTAACTATGATAGCTGCCCATTTAGGATTTATATGTTTTCATGCTTAATCAAGGTTATTGTGCATATGGGGTAATAGATAGGGATTCCCTTTTTCTCAGTATTTGAGTCTGATCTGACATTTTGTTCTCGTGATTACAGAAAAGATTAAGATGAGGCCAAGTCTGAGGCTGATTTTAGCCACAGGTAAATTCCTAATAGAACACATGTTGTGCGTATTAATCAATAGTCACACTTCAAACAGTTCATAGGACCTTAATTCTTCTTTACATAATCACTACCCATTTTTTATATTTCAATTCCCTGCATTTCACCGGTCACGTTCATTTTTTGTTCATCGTACCTTAATTCTCTGTTTAATAATTTTCAGCTATACCTGGAGGTGTAATCATACTTCTCTTGCTGTTCTCTTTTATCATTTGGTGCCTTAAAAGGACTTATGATGCAAGAAACATATCTTCTGATCCCTCCACAAAATCAATCATCGAAGGTGGGAATTTATGCTTTGGCATCCCTATCTTCTCCTACACTGAGCTTAAAGAGGCCACCAACAATTTTGATTCTTTAAAAGAACTTGGAGATGGAGGTTTTGGCACTGTATACCATGGTAAGAAACTCAAATTTGATAGCTAGTCGACAGACAGTTGGAAACTATTTAGTAATGACAAATCTCCTTTCTTATCTAATTAGGCAAACTTCATGATGGAAGAGAAGTTGCAATAAAGCGCCTATATGAGCATAACTACAAACGAGTCGAGCAGTTCATGAATGAAATTAAAATCCTTACTTGTTTGAGGCACCGTAATCTTGTTTCTCTCTATGGATGCACATCCACAAGAAGCCGCGAACTCCTACTTGTTTATGAATACATTCCTAATGGCACAGTTGCCGATCATCTTTATGGGGACACAGCTAAGGAAGCACCACTCAAGTGGCCAGTTCGCTTGAACATTGCCATAGAAACTGCTCAAGCATTGGCTTATTTACACGCATCTGATATAATACATCGTGATGTTAAGACGACCAACATCCTGCTTGATGACAATTTTTGTGTCAAAGTTGCAGATTTTGGGCTCTCTAGACTCTCTCCTACCGATGTCACTCATATTTCCACTGCCCCTCAGGGGACTCCCGGATATGTTGATCCTGAATATCATGAATCTTACCAGCTAACCAATAAAAGTGATGTTTACAGTTTTGGAGTTGTTCTCATCGAGCTTATTTCCTCAATGCCGGCTGTTGATATAAGCAGGAGTAGGCATGAAATCAACTTGGCAAATTTAGCAGTAAACAAGATCCAACGAAGTGCATTTAATGAATTAATTGATCCATCTCTAGGATTTGAGTTTGATGATGAAGTTAGAAGGATGACTACATCAGTAGCAGAATTAGCGTTTCAGTGTCTGCAACTTGAAAAAGAAACGAGACCTAAAATGGACGAGGTATTGCATATTTTGAAGGAAATTCGGGCTGAGGACGAGTTTGATGTTGACAAGACTAAAGAGAATATTGATGACTATAGTGTGCCAAGAATTAAAAAGATTCCTCCATCCCCAGAATCAGAAGGTGCTGTATTGTTGAAGAATAAATTTCAAGAATCACCAAATTGTGTGACTGATACATGGTATAGTGCATCTTCTGGAAATAGTTCCAGTTTTTGAGTTCTTTTTTTCACTTTTTATATTTTTTCTTTTGACTTGGGTTTTTATCATTGAAGTGGATGGTAAATAGTTGGAGCTTGGAGGGTAGTCAAATGAACACAATATTTAAGTTTTAATCTATTACACGATCCCCTACAAACCCCATGCTCCTTTAGTAAGTTCTTAGTTTCAATCTTTCACGTGTTTGCTGGAAAAAAATTCATCATAACATTGTTCAAAGGACTGGCTGTGATTGATATTCATATTCAAAGCTTGTGGAGGTCAGGTCCTTAAAGAGACTTCCAGTAGAGGTGTTTAGGTTCTCCTAATGTAACCAGGTTGCCATGAGTCGGAATCGATTGAAAGATCCAAAACATACTCCAAGTAACAGGGGTTTGAGTAGATTGAAGTTAATATCTGGTAGTGTTGTCCTCTGGTCTGCACGGTTTTTGGATGTGAACTGGTACATAATTCCACCGCTTGTATATCAAATACCATCATCCTTGTTCTTTTTCGCTCAAAGGTGAAGAACTTAAAAAGGAAGCAGCAATGTGATGATCTTAGCTTGGTTATACCATGTGCAGTCGCAGTTAGAAAATAAGAACTTTGAATAAAGCTATTTTTACAATGATTTTTGACAATCCATGTTTTGTCAAGATTTGTTTAATTGACTTAAAAAAAACATTTTTTAAATGGATGGTTTAGATTTTGTTAACTCATGATCGTCAATCATAATTGTTGACGCAGTGCAAAACAAGAATTCAAGTGAAAATTTTAAAAAAGTGAAATTTGGAATTTATGAAATTAAGGAGAAAATAAGATCTCGAATTTTATTAATGAATGATAATGAAAACAAAGAAATAATCCCTTATTTATTGCATGAAAACGTAGTTTAAAACAATTAAAATTAGCCCCTGTTTATCATCCATTATTTTATAATTTATCACATTATTTTTTCTATAGTACCCACTTTCAATTACACATTCTTCATGGAAATGATATTACATGCAAATAAAAAAAAAAAAAAAATTCCTTCTTTAATCACATATTCTTCATCAATCTACTATTACATAATACATTTTTCAAAATTAAAGAGCTCAAGCACACCTTTAATGAAAACAAAGTTTAAACAAATTAAAATTGAAAAAAATCCAAAATAAACTAAATGACAGAAATAGCTCCAAAACTTTAAAAATCAATTTTCGAGTACTAAACGAACTCGAATGGCCAAGATTTGCTCCTAAATTCTAGCTATGATCGACCTTTCGAAATCCATAGTACGTCAAGACGTAGCGGTGAATATTGTTCGTCTCATCGTCCTCTTTTCGGAATGGTCTTATGGGATCAATCCGAAATTCGGACGTTTTCCCTCTACTGTTACCTTTTCCCCATTTTTATTCAATTTCTCTTCCATCTGTTCAACAATATATTCTACATCAGTTGCACATGTAGCATGATTTAAGAACTTTTATGCTTTGTTCAGTATAACAAAGAAGAACAGTGCCTACGTAAATTTTATGTTCGGTTACAATTCACGTGTACCACTTGAATATATGAACATATTGAAGGTAAAAAAGCTTTGCTATGTTTACATTATTTTCATTTCCTTTTGTATAATATTTAACCATATTTGAATAGACTTTTGTATGCTCCATAGGATAAAATTGGAGGCAGGACTCTAACGACAAAAGAAATGCTAGCGGCTTAAACTTATAGATGAATCTGTTTAAATATAATCCTCAGAGTTCCATTAAATACTGGAGCTTAAATGCAAAGCCGTCAAGTTTAAACTGCTACTGGTAATACAGAGGTTTGGAAGAGGTTCCATTCTCTCTCTACCAAACAAAGACAAAAACATACACTTACTTACCCAGCATGGATAAAGGATTAATTTTTTTAAAATAGAAATAAATGTTTGGGTGCATGTTTAATTTACTCGTAAAAATATTATAAATAAAACAAGAAGAATGATTCTATTTGTACACTAAAAAATATACCGAATTGTTTACCTTCTCACATGCATGCAGGATTTGTGTAAATAAAAAAAATTCTAAAATATGGTCTCACTCCTTATTGTGAGTAGTCGATGAACGATCAGGAAAAAAAAAATAGGTACATGTAGCATGCGGGAATGCTCTATGCACCCTAACATGCTCAAAATCTAAACAAATCTTCCTTTGAATAATGACCCAATCATTTCACTTGAGAAACTGTGAGGTTCAAAATTGACCACAATGCAGAATCAAACAATAATTCTAAAGGACAAAAAAAACATGCTCACTTGTTCCCATTTTTCTTTTCATGTTTCAAAAGCCCATCCTCATTTTTCAACTACAAATTAGATTTTTGCCAGAAATTTCAACAGGGCATTGATTATGATTTGACAGCCAAACTTTGAAGGTAAGCCCTATTAAACCTATGTTTGGCTCAAATTTTAATTTGAATCAAAATCAAAAAAATAAATATTAATAACATTTTTTTATGAATCACACATTTCAAAAACTTCTATCAAAATTTAAAAAAAAATCTAATTTTAATATTTAACAAACAATCACTTAATTTGGAGGGTCTTTGGTGAAAATTAAAATCAAATTTTTTAATAAATTGTGATAGAAGTTCTGAAAATGTGTGTTTGGAAGATTTTGGAACCATGAAAGATGTGGTTAATATTGATTGTTTGACTTTAACTTATATCAAAATCAAATTTTAATCTAAACCAAAAAGACTCTTAGATAAAAATCGATGAAATATGAGATTGAAAAACTACGAGACCTATAAAAATGTATGATTAAATTTCATTGACTACTTGAGATTTTAATTGATTTTTTCGTTGAACTAAACAGGGGCAAGTAAAAAAAAAGCCCGCAAAGATGAAATTCAAACACCTTATGCCAGAAACAGAGGTGGCCCTGAGGGTGTGCGAGTTGAGCGACCACATATGATTCAAAATTGTAGGGGCACCAAATTTTTTTTTAATTGTATATTTATTTATAATTAAATATTTAAGATATATACTAAGTTTAAAATATAAAATTTTTATTATTATGCATAAGATATTAAAATTAAGAATAATGTGACTAAATAATTATAATTTACTTGAATATAATATTCTTAAATAGTATTCCTATATTAAATAATGTGAAAAAAAGGAAAAGTTGAAAAGAGATCAGGCCGACCAGAAAACTGAGAGAAGAAAGAAAAATTGAGCAACCTCATTTTTCAATCATCTTTTTGATAGTGTTTTAAGACATGTAAATTTTTGCGATCTTGATGGCGAAGATTTATTTCAAGAGTTAAAAATTTTGCAAAAATCATTTACCAAATGAAACAAAGAAGGCTTTTGATATATTGACTTATTTGAAAATATTGGATTGTTCTCTGAATACATGTATTGCTTATAGAATATTATTGACAATTCCCATTACCGTTATATTTGTTGAACGAAGTTTTTCAAAATTGTAGTTATTAAAATCTTATTTACGATCAACCATGTTATAAGAACGATTGAATGGATTAACATTGAAATCTATTGAGCAAAACTTTCTAAAAAATATTGATTACGTAAGTTTAATTAGTGAGTTTGCTTTTAAAAATGCGAAAAGAAATATTTTTACATGATTTGTTGTATTTCAAGCTTTATACTTAATATATATATATATATTTTCAAGGTTTGCAAATATGGAATTGCACGAAAAGGCTAGTAGCTTCGATGATTCTTTGTTGATGACATGAATTTTGAAAAAGTTTGAGAGATGCTTTTGAGCTTCATTTATGTTTTAGTTACTTGAAGGGGGATCATTTTGTAATCTTGAACAGGGCATCCAAAATATCAGGGCTGGCTCTGGCCAAAAACAAATACACAATTTTTGCCATTGAATTTTTTTTTTTTTTTTTTTTTTGGTTCAACGACTAATTTTCAAAGTAGCAGCAGAAGAAAGACAGTAAAACCATCAAAACACATCCAGTTTATAATGGGCAATGTTACACACGCCCAGACACGCACTTGTGTGTGGGCTAAAAGCTTCGAGCATCTGCACATAGATGTATGAGTTGCAATAATTGGCTTGACTGAAATGATTTCTGAACATCGAACCACAATAAAATTATAAGACCAATCCGTTTTACCAGAAATTGAAATGTGTTAAAACCTTCTTTTTTCCCCTGATGTTGCAGTGATGTTTAGAAATCTCAAGACAACGTGACGTTCTTTTTGAGCTCTGCATATAAAAAATACAGTAATATAAATTAAGCAGTGAAGTTTCAGCTCAACATTAACAATCAGGACAAAAAAACATGCCTTCGTGTGCTTTTTTAAGGATATAAACATTAGCATACCTTCAGATGGAGGTTCATCCTGAGCTTTTTTGTTGCTGCAAAAAGTATGGTCATAATTACATACATACATAATAATAATTATTGTTATTATAAATGCTAGAAATTTTGTATGATGAAGAAGAGAAACATGCAGGGACAGAGTAACCAATATGTCATTATTTGAAGTGGCCTTTACAAGAATTGATGAGCAAAATTTATGTATCCACTGAAATATTTTACCACTTCATTTTGTTTGCAATCAAGAACACTTGGCTTCATGCTGATATCAGAAAGTTTTCATACAATCGGGAATTAAAAGAGCCTTTGCACATGCCATTGCCAGGGAGAGCTAGCAGGCATTTTTATTGACGACAAAGAGATGGTGAAGCCAAATATGAACAAGAAGAAACTAAGGTCAATTTATTGTCTAATTTGGGCACTGTAGCGTAAGTAGTGGAAATTCAGTAGTGGGCATTGTAGCCTAGGGACCTAATTCCATCTCAACTCCATTCTATAGAATATCAAATTTTTATTTCCACACCATACTTGCAACTAAAAGTTCAAAGCTTTCCTGCCCAAATCAAGTCCATTTGCTTCTATGATTAGACACAATTTGAGTTTTAGCAGTGAGTTTTGTAATTAGGTTTTGAATGAATTTTAACCGTCTTGTTCATTATCAACCAACAGGAAAAATATGTCCGACAAAAAGGTGACAACAAGGCTAGAGGGTGAAGTTTGTACCTGTCTTTGGAAGGTTCATCCTGTGGTTTCATGGCTGGAAAGAGTAAAACTTCCTGTTCACCAATTTACGATTGATGTTCAGAATGGAATATTTCAAATCAAAATGTGAATTATGAAAGATATAGAAAAGATCCCTCGAACTGGCCTTATAAGAGATACAACAGCTGGAATGCAAGTAAATCAAAGAGATACAAGCATGGAATTCAAACAACCAACCATCAGAGACCAAAGTGGTCAGACACATTTAAGGTCACGTACCTTTATGTTCTGTGAATCCGTTATCAACATTGCAAATCGATCAATACCCATTCCCCAACCACCAGTTGGAGGCAATCCATATTCAAGAGCTGTACAGAATGTTTCATCTAGGGCCATTGCTTCATCATCACCCGACTGTCGGTCCTGACTTCATCATGAAAAAATTCAGTAGAGTAACACATGAATTTAAATTTGGAAAACCACTCATTTTTACAGAGTTTAGAGAAATATGATAACAAAGCCAGTATGATGCATTTTTCATCATGAATACCTTGAGTTGATCAGCAAAACGCTGGCGTTGCACCACAGGATCATTCAATTCAGTGTATGCATTGCAAAGCTGCCAAGTTGTGCATATAAATGCAAGAAAGGATGGGTCAGCACACCAAATAGGGAGGAAGAGAAGATACAGAAGAAAATATTGTTCTATTGCACACCTCGTGCTTGTTGATGAACAACTCAAACCGTTCAGTTAGGCCTGGTTTTGATCTATGCCACTTTGCCAAGGGAGACATTATCTCTGGATGATTGATAATAAAAGTAGGGTTTATGCATGTCTCCTCCAGAAAGTGCCCTACAAGCTGTAAAGTAAAACAATTTGTGGAAGACAGAGAGCAGATTAACTAATGCCAGGTCTATTTTCCGTTCCGATAAACTGTTGGTGCATTCAAACTTTACTTTGATAAAAAACAAAAAAATAATATGCTATTGGTTAACATGACATTGCCATATTTAGTCCAATGAATTCTGCCAAAGTTAGCTCAGAGTCCATATTACACTCATGGTCAAGCTTTGAACTTAGAAGATTTTTTAGTTTACAAGACTTGGAAAAATTCGTACCACACAACTACCAGAATTTCTTGGATAGACTTAACTTAGGCCGACACTCAAGTTATGTTGGGGGCGTGTGTATGGGAGCAATTGTCAAAAATCCACAAGTGATTTTCCTATCAAATCATCTTGAAATCCTTGAGTACGGTGCATTTATTACTCAAATATATTCTCATATTTGCCCTCAAATTGATTTTGGTAGGTGGGTTGTTGGATGTATGTAATGGAAGGGTAATTTTGGAAAAGTAGAGCATTATGTGGTCTGCCAATGTCAGGAGAATTTATAGGCTTTGAAATTAAAAAAATGGCTAACGGTCAAATTTGTAATTAGAAGTTGTTTAAAATTGTTTCCAGACATACACTTCAGTAGGTTGATATTCATTTTAGCGGTCAAATTAATAAGTTAAATAAATAAAATATCTGAAGTTTGATTAGAGGAAAATACTATAAGATATTTAGAAGCCTTTTTTGGATTCCAAGCTGACATGATGCATCCTAGGTGAAACCTAGAGTTTCTCCTCATCTTTCCTGAGTTTTTACTATAAAAACTGGTAGCAAACCTTTCATATTGTTCCTTTTGATTATTAACATCTCAAAATTTCAAGTTTGACCATTTTCATCAAAAACCGAAACAAATACTCTGAAAACTATCGCGGATCACACGATGACTGTTCAGGGTACAATTCAGATTAACACAGAACATAGCCATTTGGTCTACATTCCACAATCACTCCCCCCCCCCCCCCCCCCCCTGCCGATGTGTCCCCCCCCCCCCCCCCCCCCCTTCCTTCTTTCCCCTTCTTTTTAATCCTCTATATTATCAACTTTTTAACCACACATTTCACCCCCAGTTTGGCCCCGATTTTGTGAAAATGAAAATGGGTGGAATAGTATTTTTTTGAAAAATGAGTGATTGAAAAAGAAGGAAAACTTTTCGATTTACGTGTAACAATATTTTATGGAAGATTGTAGGGTTGACAATAAAAGAGAGAAAAATGAAATGTAATGGAATGAAAATTAATGGAGACCAAACAAGGGCTTCATCAGCTTTTATCAAAATATCTAAAAATCTAATTCTTATCAAAATCAAAAAGGGGGCTAAATCACCCTACTGTAACTACTCATCTATTTTAATTAAAAAGTTCACAAACAGATAATGTTATATCAGATAAACATCAGAACATGAATAAGTGTAGAAAACCTGAAATATCATAGAACAATAGATTGTAGGAACTCAATGAAGTCTATCAACTAAAAGACATTCAATAAAATCATAGTAGAATCCAACAAAACCTATAAATCTGCAGAACAGCATCATGATAATTTGAAGTCCAAAATCTCAATTATTTACAATCAACCAATAAAATTGGTCTCAACCTGCCATTTGGATCTACCTAAGAAAAACAACTTATGAAAATAAGCACAACAAATCGACGACTACTTCAGGCTCCGACTTGTGGTTTAAAAAATTCTGCCACGGGGATCCATGGTAGTCTTATACAAGGATTGCATGGCAGTCTTATTACCGTAGGTGTTTGCATAAATACTTAAAAAAAGGTTAACAAAAATGAACCATCAGCCAATGGGATGCATATGCATTCCACATTACATTTACCAATCAGACTAGATGATTGATTTCACAGAATAGTGAACAGATAAAACTTACTTTGTCTAACAATCTAGCTGTTGTTTGAGGGGGAGAGCATTTTATATCAAACTTCGCACATGCATCTGCCAGATATTTATTAGTTTCCTCACTGGAGAGATCTTTAGGTATGCTTAGATCTGCCATCTTCTCCAACTCCTCTACCATATCAATTCGCCTGCAGAAGTTTAAAGAGATGAAGTCTCTTAGATGACATAATCAATCAAACACAGAGGTAACAGAAAAGCAATGGAATCCATATACCTGAACGGAGGAGTGAAGTCAATCTCAATGGGGTCACTATCTGAACAGTTGGCATGATATTTAATTTTATAGCCACCGGTAAGTTCCTTGACCATCCCTGTCAACATAAAATTATGTTCAGAGATTTCCAGGCAAAAACAATATTTCTGGATTAAATGGATTAGCATTATGAGATTGACTCAAATTTGCACCCAGAGCAGTAACCTACCACTGAGCATTTCTTCAGTTAACTCCATCAGGTCATTGTAATCAGCGAAAGCCATGTAAAACTCGCAAGTTGTGAACTCAGGATTGTGTGTTAAGTCAATTCCCTCATTCCTAAACTGTTTCCCAATTTCATACACCCTCTCAAGCCCACCAACAACCAGCTCCTTAAGAAAAAGCTCAGGTGCAACGCGCATGTAAAGCTTCATATTGAAGTCATTGTGATGGGTTACAAATGGGCGGGCTGCAGCTCCTCCTGCAATCATGTTCATCATGGGCGTTTCAACCTTAAATAGAGGATGTCAAAAAACCATATCAATAAGAAAACTGAAGCCAGGCTAATAAATGAGCAAGTGACATCAAATCATTTATGACTACTAACTAAAATACAAGACGTACAAATTACCTCCAAAAATTCACGATGTTCAAGAAAATTTCTGATGTAAGAAATAATTTTTGCCCTGGTTTTGAATATTTCCCGAACCTCCACGTTCAGCATCAAATCCAAGTAACGTTGTCTGTATCGTGTTTCCTAGGATAAAAAAAAAAAAATTACAATTTTCCATCCATTAAAAGACATACAAGCAAACGCAGTAAAGCATGGTAAAGAAAAGGAGAAAAAGTTGCGAGATTTTCTGTTCTTTTCTTTTTCCCTTTTTGTGCGTGTGGATGGGGATTAAGTTAAAGTCACGACGGGAGGGTTATATATTACCTGATCCTTCAATATATAAGCCTCAAGATTCCTGCCACTTCCTGGAGCCCAAACATCAGTTTTCTGTACAGGATAATTAAATGTCAAAAAGAAAGCAAAGCAAAACAGCATACATCTGTTTCACTAAACAAAAAGCAGAATTACCTTGGCATTGTCTGACCCAGGACCAATTTTTTGCCGGGGCATCATGTGCAGACAGTGGGACAGAACTATAAATGTTTTGGGAAAAATACTCAGCTCTCCCCTCTTACTTTTTCCTAAGAAACATAAAAAGGGAAAACGATGTCGAAAAAGCATTTCAAGAAAAAAAAAAAACTAAAATTTAAAATGTGTGGGTTATCATAGCACTTAATGCAAGATGCTCCTAAAATTGAACATACAAATATGAAAATACAAAAGAAAGAACACAGCTGATGCAGCCAAACAAATGAACCAGACACGTATATATGGATGTACATATGTTACAAACCCCAGAGCACCAACTTTACAGTGAAATACCCCAATTTAACAAAAAGACCAGGTTAAGTCTGGTAAAACAAAAGAAGCAAACCAATAAAACTCTTTTGGTTTTTCTTTTAGAAGTCATTGCAAAATGAACCATCCGATTATGATTAATAAGTGGTCATACATCAACAAGCTCAACAATTGAAAACCTGTTTGAGCAGGATTCAGTAGAACGTGCTGAGACTTCATCAAGACTTAAAAATAAAATAAGTTTGAGCTTGAGCACGAGTCCAATTCAAGATAGAAAGACTCACAAACCTGGAAACCCAATAATCCCAACGATATCACCTCGCTTCACAGAAGAATGAAATTTAGTAAATTCTTCTTCACCCAAATCCGATTTCCTGGTCAAACATCATTGATTAATTTTGTTATGGTAAAAGAAGGTAAACAGTGTCATACATTGAACCCAGAAAAGAATGAGACAGGCAAGGAAGAATGAAAAACACCAGTTATTCAGTTAAAAGGAAAATCTGTTCTTTATACTGAAGGATATGAATACACAAACTCATCAAGGATGTCTCGTAAATAGGATTAAATCACATGGTATTCCATCTAACTCTTTACAAGGAAAAAAATTTATCAGAACAGTTTTATATGCAGTTGTTTGTATTGAAGGACAAAAAACTATTTCACACATCCACATATTACAACATAATCCTGGATTTCCTGCCTGAATAATAAAAGATACTGCAAAGAAAATGAGAGTAAACAGGCTGTATATTGAAGTTAAGACAAAATAAAAAAAATAAGTTACAAATTCAAATATGGTAACATGATTCAATAAAATCACAAGCTTGTCCAATTGCAAACATGAGTCGATCAGCGTAAGCTTGCTCTTCAGCCCATTTCTAAACCACATTTAAGCTTTCTGCACTAAATATATATCTAACAGGGACACAGGACACTTCGTGTAAAGTCAGTAGGAAAAACAATTTTAATGGTTTCAAAACATAATGAAACCATGAAACCCTAATGATGAACCATGAAATGAAACTTGCTTTGTAAAATATTCCAATGTAAAGAAATGATTTGCCGTCATAAAACATCAGGGTTGAAGGTCCATAGCAACAAGAACTTGCTACTTGGAAAAGGAAATAGAAATGTATGTAATTACCTTGCATCAGCCATAACTTGAACTTTAGCACCACCACCATGTAGATCATAAAAAAATAGCTTTGCAGATGATGACCGCTTGTTCATAAGCCGCCCTTCCAAAAAGAAACATCTACATTATTAATTAATAAGTGTACAAAGCAGAGCATGAGTCTACACCCGTAGTTTCTAGTACCAGCCAGTCTTTCTTCATCGTCCTCAAGATGATCCCCACTATTTAAACTTTCATATTTCTTCACATAGTCAGGAATGGTCAGTGAAGTTGCAAATTTGTGAGGATAAGGATTGTTCCCAGCTTCCTTCTGAGCTGCGAGTGCTCTCAGCCTATTTTCATAATATTGCTACACGCAGAATAATCCAGTGAGTCAAAAGAACCAAGAAACTCTCTTCTTATAATAAGAACATGAAACTCTCCATATCCCCAATCCCATCCCCCCCAACACACACACATTCTAAATAAACCAAGAATTAAGAAAGACAAAAGCGACAGGAGACATACGGTTGGATCCATGCCTTCATCTTCTGCAGTGGAGGATTTCTGTGGCCATTCCCTGGCAGAGGCCTGTAATTTATGCCACCATGATCATAAACATACCATGTTAGAATAAACATAAAGGGTAATATACCAAAAACTATATTGAGTTAAAGATGGAATCAAATCCACACTTCTACAAGTTTCTATACTCCCTAATCTCTATCACATAGGAGACACCTTGTGAACTTGTAAGGAGCGAATACAGACTACAGCGCATATTTTTAGTAATATAACTCATTCATATTCATTCATCGGCATCTTTGTACATATCAAACATATATATTCCCCATACACCACAGATATATGGGTAAAAAGTGAACAAATGAGTCTGACACAAAGGAAGAGAACATACATAAATAGGTGAGAAGGAAATCTAACTCAGGTTAAAAGTTTTCATGATTCCTTATTTATTGATTTTCGTGGGTTTATTTTCAACATTTTTCAAAACTTCCATTGCTTCTTGTTTTTATTTCCTTGGGTAGTAGAAGGATAATACATACAAAATTTGGAGACATGTTTGCATAACATTCACATAATAAGTAATTAAACTGTGTCATTAAAAGCATAACTGTGTTTCATTCTTGACTCATGTTTTAGACAAGCTTCATTACCCTAATAAGAAATGGAGACTCCATTCACTCGAGTGTGCTTACACTGATTAATGCATTCTGTCCCATTCTCCATAAAATACAATTTCAATTTGATTGTAGTTTTTGAAACGTTCAGCACCCAAAAATCCTGCTTCCTTGAGAGTAGGAGCCGCAAGAGAAATTGTTTTTTCTACTCTTCACTTAGTCAAACTACTTGATTGAGGACATATTGTGCCTCCCATCATTTTAATGTTCCTCAGATTATTTTTTCAATGTGATACGAAGACTCTTATTTTATGCAAAGCACCAATCATCCTATGAGGATGATGTACTATTTTTCTAACTCTGGTCACCAGCAGAGAGAATAAAAATTTGAGAAATGACAATTGTACGAGCTAGCAGGTCACACATCACAACTTGAGTCCAATTCCAAGGTTACATTTCTTTTCTTACACACTGAAGGCGATCACGTGGACACCGACAGGTGGAGCTTTGCAAGTTCTACGGGTTTTGACTTTTGAGAGTGACGGAGGTGAACATAAGGGAAGGGAATGGGTATGGTGACCTTTTTCTTTGTAGGCTAAGTGGAGGGAAACGATGACAGATTTTTCTTTGTCAGCGCTAACCCTGAAACTGTCTTAAATCTAAAAATAGTCTGTTTAAACACAATCACGGTGCCAACAGCCTCTTAATGCCGTAATTCTATAGTTCACTCTGTTCAGAAATTCGCACATGCTTTCACACAAAAACAAAAAATGAACAATTTAATTACTTCGAACCAGCGTGTAAAAAAATGACGTTGAGAAAATTCACCCTGAGATATAAATTATAAATAAGTAGAGAAATGCACAACTGAATGAAAACAATATAAATACGTACAGTTATAGAAAGAGAGGAAGAGCATACCATTTTGGAATTGATGTTTGGGGAAAGTTTGATACTGATGAAAAGCGTAAATGCCGAAGGCTATTTGAAGATCAAGTTCTGCATGTAAATTCCCAGGGTTTTTAAGTTTTACGCTACCTTTGGGTTATTCGGCAGTTACTTGAAGACCAAGTTCTGCGTGTAAATTCCCAGGGTTTTTAAGTTTTACGCTACCTTTGGGTTAACATTGTAAGGCCATGGCCCATTAAGTTGGGATGGACTTTCTTGGCCCCCTACTGTAACGCCCTGTAATAGATTAATTTAATTAAAAAAATAAATGTCAAACATGTAAATAATAAAAAAAAAATTCCAAAACGGTGAGGCGGTGAATTGGATTATATATCAATCTAATTCACATTTAAACAAATCAAGACCCATTGCATATTCAGAGAAACCATAACAGTGGGAAAAAAAAAAGAGGAAGAAGAAAAGAAAAAAAAGAAATTTTTTGCCAACATGTTATAATATAAGTTCTTTTGCTATTAAGCTTGAATGTTTCAAAGTTAAATGTAAGTAAAAAGTTACTTATTGTCAAGTTATGTTTAATTTTATAATTGTTAGATTTTTAGACTAAATTCAATTTTATTGAAAGGGTTAAATATAATAAACTATGAAATTGAGTAAAGTGAAAGAAAAACTAGTTTTAGTGATTAAAGAGATTATGAAAATCGCTTAAACTTGATATGATTAAGTTTGGGTATCGCCTATTTAATTATTGAAATTACTGAAAATAGTTAATTGTTGATTTAAAAATTATATCATATTTCTGACGATGATACGAATATTGAGACAGCTTACCAATTGAGTTGATTTTGCGAACATAGTGCTGTGAATGGAAAAATATAAATATTTTTAAAGTATTTATAAATTAAGTATATTATCAAAATATGTGCAATCATGTGTTCAATTATATAATTATTATGAAAACCTCTTTTATTATGATCCATGTGAAATTTCAAGGATTATTTATTGTACGTTTGTGACTTGGTATATGATACATGTGATATTGATATTTATTTGGTATGTGAGACGTGATATTGAGATCGACCAGAAAAGTACCCGTGATTATGTACTTCTTGTAGTTCGCAGAGGAGCCTTGACCGTATTCTATCATACACAAAGGGTCTTGATCGAATATTGGTCATGACCGTGTACATATAATTCATAGATGGGTCTTGCCCGTGTTCTAAAATTGATTACCTGCGGTCTTTGAGACCGGCTTTCGATCACGAATGGGGCTAAAGGCCTGTGGCGAAAGTGCTTAGTCCGAGAGGCGAATTACAGATTTTAGTCAAATGGTACATTTTTGGTGGATCACATGTGATGTGATGAGATGATGGTATAGATATCAGCTGATGATTATATCGTGATTATGAGATGATATTTATAGTGTTATAAGAATGACTTACTTTTTGCTATAATGTATAAGTCTATCATGTGAATATTAAATGATATGAATTGAATGTTTGGTAAAAATGTTTAAAGGAGAAAGTATAATTATTTTCGAACTCTCCCACTCATTGAGCTATAAACTCATATATTTTTTCGTAATTTTCTTACAGGTAGCAATTGATTCTTTTAGCTGGAAGAGCCTAATGATTTCAGAATGAGAGTCACATGACATGTTGAATATTATAACTCATATGGATGAAGCACGAAGTAAATATTTTGGGCCCATCGCATTATGTTTTACATAAGCATTTTATTTTGTTTCATTTTTTGAATTAACTCATAGTCAGCTTTGGTAATAGATTTGACATCGAGTCGGCATCTATTATCGACGCACGTCACGTTTCAAGTCCATTAGGGTGATTCGGGACAGATCGTATCAAAGTGGTATCACAGCATGGTTTATAAAGTTTTGAAAGTTTTCATAGTTCAAACATTGGCTTATCATGCATTATTCAGTGTGTGTAGTTACATGTCGTGGTGGCTAGGGGTGGGCGCGGGTCGGTTCGGTTCGGTTCTCTTTAGAACCGAATCGAACCAAACTTTTCGGGTATCTAATAAATGGAACCGTCGGGTCCAAATATAATTATGGAACCGTTCGGGTTCGGTTCCATTCGGTTCGGATCGGATTGGTTCCGTTCCGTTCGGTTCTGTACTATAATTAAATTTTTTAACATTTATAACAACGTTATATAAATACGACTAATGATACATTCAATAGTTTTGGAATGTCAGAGATTAGTAAACTACCTTATTCAAATGATCGCTACGATCAAAGCTTCAGTCGGGGAAAGTCGCGGCTTCGATCGGAGGTCAGAGTGTCGACCGACAATTGTATAGGTTTTGGAATATTAGAATCATTAGATAGGCTGCGAGAGTGAGTGCTAGAGTCAAGACAACGTTATGCACTTTATTGTAGGTGTTTAGGGTTATTTAGTGGATTTGATCTTGTTTGGCTAAGAAATGAAACAATAAAATGGGTAATTGGGTCAAAAATTAAAAAATTAGAAATGAAACAAATTATTGGGCTAAAAATTTGGATTTAATTTGTTAATTTGTTTAGAAAAAATTAAAATTAAAATAATTTGATTTACTCAATATAAAAAAAAATTAGAAAGATTCGGTTCTTCGGTTCTTGGTCTAGAACCGAGAACCGAACCGTACCCGTCGGTTCTCAATTCAGATACCCGTTCGGGTATTTAATTTGACAAGAACCGTCGGGTTCGGATCGGGTTCGGTTCGGTCGGTTCGGTTCGGGAGATTTGCCCAGCCCTAGTGGTGGCAGAAATCACTGGCTCTCTTGCTTAAATGTATGGAACCAAAAATAATAGATAAATATTTTTTAACAGATTTAGAAACGACTAGTATGTAAGATAGTAGTTGCAATAATCCGATGGTTGGAAATATTATTAGTTGTTGGGTTGGAACTATGTGTATATATAACCTATTAAGATTTGAACAGATTGTGATGATTTTGAGGGGCATTCGAAGCTACAGATGTTACAACCACTTAATTATCAACTGATTTGTAGAGCTACATGATTTTTTTATGTGTACATATGAAAATTTTTAGTTATAGCTTGCACGATAAATATAGGAAAATGATATAATGTGTGATTAGTGATAATCAGTGAGAAATTTTAATTATTTTTGAAGCTAAATGGTCTTTAGTGTTATCAAAATTTTGTGGTGATTTGTAGCAACTTATATGAGATGATAATAGAAATCATAATTGTGTGTATTTATGCTATATGATAAGAAATTGTGGAAGACAAAATCATGATTTGTTGATTGATAAATGACAATGTGTTATTGTGTATTTTAGGCATCGAGGAAATTAATGGTAATTTCAATTATTTCGATTATTTATGAGCTGTTTGATTACAAGGAATGTGAGAATAACAGGGATGAACTTCATAATAATTACATATTATAGGGTGATTGTTGTTTTAGAAATAGAATTAAATGAATATGTGTATTTAGATATGTTTAGTTTATGTGAATAAATAAATAAATAATAAAAAAATTGAGAATGGTAGAGTTGAAATTTATTGAGATTGGGAAATTAACATATGGTGTATTGATGTGTGAAATGTTCACGTGATAAATGTGAATGTTATTATTTTGTGATCTTAAGAAAAATTGATATAATTAAATTTTTTAGGTAATACGATATGACGATAAATTTCAAGATTACATGATCATAACATGATACGGTGAACAGCATGTAAATGAATATAATGATTATCCTATGCAAAATATTGTGATGATAGATTTTGGTTATTAAGTTAATTAATTTTGTTAAGGCCATTTGTTGGATTATTGTGTTATATTTCATACAATTTGAAAGCGTTGAGTTAAATTTTGAAGTTAAGATGAATTTATTGAAATTTTAGTGATGAATTTTTGGACTATTTTCAATTGTAAGGATCATGAAGAAAGTATTCCATTTTTATCAAAATATATTTGTTAAGGAATATAAGTAAGACATGTTGACTATGTCTAAAGTTTAAGATGATCATCAAATATAGATTTTACTCATTGTGAAATAGTATATTTAGGTTACATTATCTTAATTAAAGGTCTTTATGTAATATATAAGAAGAATTATGCATTGACGATAGATAAACGATCTGTTTATGGAATAAAAGTATAGATTTCCATGAATTAAATATTATTATCGTCTCTTTATAGAAAGAAAGAACAAAATTTGTATGGGTATAGAAATGTCAAAAGTTTTGCGATTAAGAAATTCTAAGGAAATATTTGCTCTTATATTTAAAGATTATAAGTGATTGATTCACGATAATTATTTATGATAATGGATTATGTTAAGGTTAGAAAGTGTTCTGAAGTAAAATGATGAATTATGAATTAAATGATAGATTGTTGAAGAGGCATGATTAAAACATGATTTGGAGTTAGTTTTATTGGGATTACGTCATCACATTGCGAGAAATATCAATACCTATCAATCATTAGAGTTTTAAGGTCTATTTTATTAGAAATTGTGGAAATGGAAACTGTGTATATATTATGATTGAATGATATAGAATTAAAGGAAAAGAACACCAAATTAAGCTATTTCAATTGTTTTATTAGGGATAACTAGAATTTTAGAAAAATCGTGAAAAATTGAATTTTTGGAGATATTTTCAATTTAAAATGGAGGTACTTACCCTCAAATATTTTTGTTTGGGGATTCCAAATATGTGAAATGGAGACAAAATAATATTTAAATTATTATGGATAGACTGATAAAGGTTACAAGATTCTTTTTAAATGATATAGTCAGTTCATAGGATAGATTTATAAAATTATATTTAGACAATATTGTTAATTACATGGTGGAATTAGAGTATTTATCTTTGATTAGTTGTAAGAAGTTATATAATTAAATTTCATTGTGCATTTTCTAAAAAAAAGGTTAAACCCTAACCTTAAGGGTCCCCCACCACCCCTGTCCTGGAATATCGTGAGGGAGGTAAATCGCAGGTTATGCCTCCAAGAGTACAGGATGGAAGGCTGCTTGTACACTTGCACTTACCCAA